CTGGCAGACCCTGGAACAAACCAGGTCTCTCAGCCCCTGAGCTACGTGAGCCATCAATGGAGTTAAAGCCGTGTGACGCCGTCAATTCATTCGCCAGAGCCCGCGTGTCCTGACTCACGCTATTGTCTCAGTGGTGAGGGGACCCAGAGAGGGTCCCGTGGAGTGTCCCAAGCTCTGGACAAAGCAAAAGCCAGTGTGTGAAGAGGAGGGGCAGTCTCACTGTTCCCTGTCATTTTAAAGCCTGCCTCTGGAGCCTTCAACTTGTGTGCCTTGGACAAGAACCTTACATTCTGCCTCAGTCTTTCTCACCTGTGGTGTGGGGATAAGATTGTCTCCAGGGATCCAGGTCAGAGAGTCACAGTGAGGAGTCAGAGACAGCGGACTTACAAGGGCTTACCTGTTGGCGTGGATGCTGATTAGCAGTTTTACCAGACACTCAGCCCTGGAACCCAGGTCTTTTGATATTCATAGATGTAATCAACATTCTGCCTGGGCACGCTGTGGGGAAGGCTCAGCTCAGCACAGCTGGGCTGGCTCTGGGTAGAAGCAGATCCCCAGAGCTGGAGAACAGTGTTTAGGGCCTGACAGTGCACCCCACCCCTGATGAGCTTAGTCTGGAGAGTAGCAAGCTGGCTGGCTAGCTGGCTGTCTGCTCACTGCCTGCTTGCTTGCCTGCTGAGTGGTTCAGTCTCTTATTTTCCTGGGAAAGCACTAATTACCACAAGGCTCCCGGGGGAGGGGGAAGAGGGGCTTGTGAATGATCTGTCTTAGACCCTAACCACTTGGGAGCACTGTTGCCCTCTTAGAGAAGGTGCTGTCCTGACCTCCGCCTCCCCCACTGCCCCTCCCCCACCAAGAATCCAGAGGGCGGAAGCAAACTGACCATCAACAGGGAAACTGGGGTTGGGCTCACAAACCATTCTCTGTCTTAGCTCACAGAGTGGTCCCCAGACCAGTGGCATCAGCTTCCTGGGGCCCTTGCTAAACATGCAGATTCTCATGACACCTACTGAATTTGGGATGGGGTTTTGGAACCTCTGTTTAACCATCTTTCCAGAGGATCTGAAGTTCACCCACACTTCAGATGTGGGGGGATGTGGTTGAAGAAGGGGTTGACACGTGTGGTCGCAGCACAGGCTGGTAGAGAGATACCTGCCTTCAGATGTGGGCTCTTGTGACTCCTCACTCGGCCAGCTGGGACAGATCACATCATACACTTAATAGATACTAATTTACACCCCACTGTTCAGTGTTGAAAGTCCTGAGGCTACAGTTTCAGGGGGAAACAATTGTAATATGAACTTATTTAACCCTTACGAGAAACATTTTGGGTAGGGCCCCATCACTGTCCTACTCGGCACAGGCGAGGAGGCCATGATGGTAACTTGCTCCGTGGCTAATTTCAGCATGCTAAACTTTGAGCCATTGGATCTGTCCCCAGACACAACCACTGAACCTCTAGGCTGAGACAATCTGTAGGGAGGCAGATGAAATGCAATAAGGGTCACCACAATGACACACATCAGCACATGCTGATAAATAAATAAATAAGTAGGGAAGAGGATGGGGCATAGCGTGCGGGGAGGGGGGCATGACCAACAGCGATCCCTGGCAAGACCATGCTGAGAGAGGTCTAGTAGGAGGGGTGTTTTCAAATGCTGCCTTTCTTTGCTGTCAAATGAAGTAGTGACCAGCACCCCTACCAGGTGTGGCATGACTATGTCGCAAGTACAAGACTGCAAAGCATGGTAGATGCTGAAAAAAATATAAGTATTATTATTGTTATATTGAGAGCTGAATTCAAATCTTGACTACTTGAGAGCCTAACAGCTGTGTGTCCTAGGTAAGTCACGACACCCCTCAGAGCCTCCCTTTCTACAGCTACAAAATGGGAATGACAGCAGCTATCCCCAGAAAGGGGCTGCTGTCAGGCTCCCAGTGGCCCACCTGAGGGTCAGGAAACACATGGGAGCTAGTCGATCGCCTCACTCCCCGCTTCCAGCCCGTTCAGCAGCTTCCTTCCAGTACAGCTGGCCCGTGCTCCCAGCTGCCCAGGGGTCTGTGATACTTATTTTTAATTGTTCTGGCTTCAGAGTCGAGGCCTCTAACTCTGAATGGCTCCTCTTGCCCTGCAAAAATAGGTCGTTGGCAACTCGAGCCTCCTGACAGGTCCCACACAAAGACAGCCAGGCCTGGCCTGCTGATGCCAGCCCTGGGCTATGGGAATCAAGAGAAAGCATGAGCAAGGCTGTATCAGCAGTGCTGAGTCTCTGCAGGCCCCAGCATGCCTGGCAGAATGGCCCTGGTCAAGTCAATGTCTGTCTGGCCTTGTTCCTTTCATCTAGAGATACAAAGGGGTAGGGTGAGGGGGCCTCAACGAGAGAACACGGATCTTTGGGCCTGGCGCACAAGGGGATGCTTTTGTCGCTCTTACAGAGGCCAGAACCTCCTGGGACTGCATTCACATCCTGGCCACTCACAGCTGCCGCTCATATTAAAGTTGTTTTTCTTAGTCCTTTTGCATGGACTGGGGCAAAAAAAAAAAAAAAAAAGCCCTTGTTGCTTAAGTGAAATCCCTTGTGTCTTAGCTTTGAAGTCCCCAGATTCTTCCCCTCCTCCTGCTCATTCAAGTCTCCTCTCTGGTACTCCGGCAACACCTACACCACAACACACACACACACACACACACACACACACACACACACACACGGGAAAGGATGAAATTAAATCTTTACTGTGCAGCCTCACAGAAAAGGAATCCTGGGCTGCCGAGAATGGACAGGAGAGAGGGGAGAAATGGGCACGGGTGAGAGGACACACAGTCTCCCCATCTTGCCTTTGGGAACTGCATTGCCCCTCTTCATGGGTGCCCTAGGCCCTTCTCTATGTATTCCTCCCTGGGCTACGGATGCTCACCTGACATGTGGAGCAGTACAGGTTAATCGGTCAGCTCCCTGAGCACACGGTCTTGTGCCTGGTCTGTTCCTCCCAGCCGCCACATCTCTACCCCTCAGCGCAGCGTCAAGCCCGTAGCAGACAATGCACATGACAAGTGCGTGAATGAATAATATCTGAATTACAGCACCCAGTCTGGCTGCTATGATCACTGGCCCGTATCAATTATCTGCCATAATCCCTGTGACCCCGGGAAGGCTGTACCGAAGCCCACTTAGCTCACCCGTTTGCCCACGAATCTCAGTGGACTCACAGTAACTGATGGGTGGGCACAAGTGACTTTTTTGTGGACAAATGTCAACTCCCCCACACTTGGATGTGAGAGTGAAGGGGGTAGTTGGGAAGCTCTGCTGAGCGCCTTTGCCAAAGATGCTATATATAAATAGCAGGTGGTACAACGCTGCTTATTCTTCCTAATCCCCCGGCTGCTAATCCCAGGCCGCCCTGTATCTAGGAGTGTGTGCCTGCCCCAGAACTGTGTATGAGCAGCACAGGGCAGGAGGCCACATCATCTCTGACTCCAGCCCCCTGCTACCCCAGGCAGATTTTGAAGGCTCTACTGGACACCTCCATGGTCCTGCCTGACATCATCTAAAGAGCTGGAGACTCTCTGCAGCCTACTTCGGATGCTAGAACCAGGTTCTTTCTTGCCTAGTCCCTTGACTCCACACTCTCCTCCCTCCAGCTCTCTCTATTCTAAGTATAGTGGCCTCCTGAGCATATAAATCAAACATAGTAGTCCCTACTTGATCCTGCCTGCAGCGGTTCCCATGCACAGAGTCAATTCTCTTAAGTCTTCTGGACTACCCTCCAGACATGCTGGCTACACACCGTTGTCCTTAGCTAAATAAGTGAACGCACATGTGCGCACATACACTCCTTACCAGACCTTCTCTGTTCATTCTTTCGGCTTGAGTATGCCTGCATCTTCTACTAGACTGTGGGCGGGTTCTTGTTGTAATTCCCTAGGCCCAAAGATAGACAACTGATATTCCTGCTAGGGTTGCCCTGTGGTCCTCCCAGGACTGCTGCCAAACACTTCTCAAACACCATCCTTGCCCTTGGTACATGGTAAGCTCTTCTTAAAATGCAGTGCAAATATCAACTCATGTAACCCTCCCAATGGCAGTTCTGGGTCGCTGCTCACATTGGCCAGGCTGCTTAAAAGGAAGCCAAGACACAGAAACAAGGGTTTTCTCCAAGTCTGCAGCTTATAAACTGGGGAGAAAGGCTCTGAATCTTGGATGCTGGTCCCTCTGCCCAAGAGCTGCACCTTGCTTGCCTCTCTGGAAGAAAAAACACAGAACCAGGATTTTGGCCAGAGGTGCAGAGGACAGAGGGGTGCCAATGCATAAGGGGCTTTCTGCCGAAGGACTGGCCTTAGGCAATCACCCTCGCTGTTTGAGCCTCAACATCCTCTTTATTAAGAGACCGATCCAGCAGGGCCCGCTTTGCTTCATTATGTTCCTCAACTGCCATCATGGGAAGCAAAATTGGCTATCTCTGAACTTCCTTCAACTCGGAAACTCTCCAATTAGTACAGGGTCTTGATGCCTCTTCCCCGCCTTGGTGCGCAGCCTTCTGCAGAGGACCAAACACTTGAGTGCTTCTGCTGTTCCCTCAAGGAAAGGCGGAGTCAGGGTGCATTTTGCATCCAGAGGCTCCTTTGGGATTATTAGTTCTCCTTTCTCCCATCTTCCTCATTAGGGTCACTGTTTTGCAGTCCAAGCCTCTCCCAGCACAATTCTGTCTGTGCCCTCTCCAACCTCAATCTATTCTCCCTGATGAGAAGGCCTCTGGTCAGTCTCCTCCCTAAGGCCCTCCAGCCCTACTCTTCTCCTTTCGCTGCCACCCCTTTCTTCCTGCTCCTCTCCCCCAGTGCGTCTTTACCAAGAGGCACTGAAGTCCTTCCTACACACACGCTATTTTTGTACCATCACTTTCTCCTTCCTCTCCCCCTTCCCCCTGCATTTACTTCCTGCTTTTGCTTTACCTCGGGCTAGCTTGGAAAGATTTGGGCCCCTAGTACCCACAAACACCAGGGGGCCGACCTTCTGCTTTGGGACACATGGACAGGGCCTCTTGGGGAGGGGCAGAAAGCAAGCCTCCCCGCCTCCTCCGTTCTCTACCCTGGGCCAGCACGTCGCGGGCAGCCTCTTGTCCACCGGAGGGGAGGACTGGCCAGGGTGAGAGACCGAGGCCAGTGGCAATCG